TATAAAGGTAAGCCAACTGCTCATCAAAGCACAGTATTTTATTTTATATTTTTACACATTAAATTTAAAAGTAGCTATTATCGTAATGAATTTCTTTTTCTGTAACTGGTTAAGTCCTTGCTTTTTTTAGGTTACTAAGTAACATTTAATTTTCTTTTCCGAGTAACAAACACATCAAACTCATACCACCACAATTACCTTTACTTTTTCACTGTGTTATATGTATGTCGTACTTACTGCAACTGTCACCATGTGGAGAAGGCTGCCCTTGCGTTGCATTACCTGCCATTAGAATTCTGCTCATGGGATGAAGACAGCCTAGTCACTGTTATAGTTTATATGTTTCAGTTTTGAATAAGTTGTCATTGTAGCCCTCACTCTAAATTTGCTCACACAAAAGAACTAGAGGAAAGCGTCGAAGCGTGTGCAGTCAATTTCACTCAGATATTTGAATCCTATTATGTTGGAGCCGTGGAGCTGTTGAACAACCATTGCTCAAAATAGGATCCAAACTATTTCCTTCAAAACTGTGGCTGTAGCTGCTCAGTTATGACAAGCATGGAATTATTCCCCCTTACAAAGGCCATGTGCTTCACCACTCTAAGGAGATTTAGCCGCCTTTCAGAAATGCTTCTTCTATGACTACTGTACATCTGTTTAGATCCAAAAAGAATGCAGAAGAGCTTGGAGAGGAGAATGAACACTCCATTCTTTGATGGATACAGTCCTTTAGGTTTCTTTGGAAGCTAGTGCAGAGGAGATTGTGTGGCCGTACATTCACTCAAGGTAAATTAGTGTGCCAGAACTATGGACAGGAAGCCAACTGATATACTTATGTTAACAGCATGGATGTTGCAAAATATTAATTTTCATAAAACCTTAAGTACAAGATCACTAATAATAATGTGCATGACAGTCTTATCTTAAATAATATTCCCAAACCAGTAATGATGTAAAACATCCATTAGTCTCCGCTGATCCCTAGGCGCTAACTAGCACCCATACGAAGTGGTTTGTGCTGTTTGACCGGCTGGGGTTCACATCTGCCTTTAAAAAGACGACCTGTAGATTAAACAGATCACGGCCCAATTCCCTGCTATCTAAATACTCTTAAATACTGTACTCTTAAATTTTTCATGGTTGCTCCACCAACTCCTTAGACCGGATTAAGTAGTTAAACATGACCCCATAGGTTACCTCTGGCCACTTTGTCTACCATGTTAACAGTGACGATGAATGAGACAATATGAGACCATCTCATCTTCTTATGTAGTTTTCTATGTGCTCCCATTTTGAAACATTTGTGGCATTACTTGTTTTTTTCAATGAAGTTATTGCTAGCTATAAAAACTCTTCTACCTAGCAAACTAGCTACCGGACGTGACGTGTCAGTTTAGTGGAAGTTGATGACAAAATGCAGAAGAGCGCATTCTTAAAAGTTAGGTGAATATCCCAACATTCATATTTTGCATCTCTACTCTTTAGCAAAACTTATCTTAGCTTGGCTTGGAGTAATGTTTGGAATGCATGTTTGTCAGTTTTTAGTTTTTTAATGCAACGCCTACAGCAAAAGGGTATTTTACCGTAGTGTCTGTGTGTATTACAAGTGCCAACAGACCTGATTCTAAGTGAAGCTGTGCACTGTTGCACAGTCCCCAGGGTTCATGATGTACCGAAGCAGAAAAAGATTGTGTAGCCTTTCATTCAGGAAAGGTCAAGTAGTATCAGATGCGTTATCTGGTATCTTCTATCAAGCCGACTTAGGCCGCCTTGAGCTATAATGACCTGAGAGGCGCTTACACCCATTTCAAGTATAAAGTAATGGAATCATTTTGCTTTGACCACTACATCAAAAGAATGTGATGCAGAAAACCGAAGTATCTGAGAGGCAACCACTCCATTTTAGATCCAAATAATTCAGCTCATACTGGAGTACCCTGAAAGGATAATGCTTCATTTCATGTATGGTACTCAGATGGCTCTTTGGCTTGAGAGCTGGTAAAGTACTCCGGGAAAATTTGACTGTTTTCTGCTACATAATAAACTTTTGAGACCTACATACACCCAATGCAATTTAAAACTTTTTATTACACTGCATGCATGCTTACATCAATACTGTTTTCAACTCTGATATTAAGAATGACTAATTCATCTAATTACTAATTCATCAAAAAGCTATAAGACACCTTAAATGTGAAGTCTGCTACTAACAAATTGATCTAATTTTCACATTGGAATTTATAAACTGAATACATTTTTTTATTAATTTGTTTCATAATTATTTATTTTTATTCTCCCCTCTCACTGCTAGCCCATGTTCATGTCTTCTAAAGTTACAATAATGTCCAACATCCCTTCTTGTGACAGCTAAGCATTGGTATTAGTTATTATTTTTTCAAAACACAGCTTTTAAGGAATACTTTAATTTAATATGCCTATTTGTTTTCTTGCAGAGTGTTAGATGAGAAGGTTACCACGCTCATATCTACTGTGTACGATAATATGAAGCTACAACAAGCAGCCCGCTAGCTTAGATTCACAAAGGGCCTGGAAGAAGGATGAACCAGCTGGCCAGGCTCTGTCCAAAGGTAAAATATTCTGCTCAACAGCACCTCTAAAGCTAAATAATTACTATATTACATCTTGTTTGTTTAATCCAGACAAAAACCTAAGTGTTTTTCAAAATTGCCTATTATGAGGTCACAATGACCTGGAGTACACCTTTACATCACTACAGCAAGGTGAAAAGTTAAACCGCTGTGGGTCAGCAAAAAGATTGTTATGGGGTGTGAAGTTAGTCTCTAATATCATTTGTTTGCTTACATTTCTACAGTCTATAATCTTTTTCATGTAAATGTTTTTATTGCATTTTGTTTCAATAATTGGTTTATTCGCTGTGTTCCTCTGTGAGAAAGGAGCTAAAGTGGTGGCATCATAGCCTGCATGCATTTTTATTTTATTTAATATTATCAGTTAGTGAATTGTCTTCAAATTGTTGAGAAAAATCTGTGAATAGAATTTGGTCTGTAAGCATCTTCTCATAAAGGAACCAAAGTCCCATATTTATTTATTTTGAACATGTAACATATTTCCCCCTACTTAGCCTACAATCTTACTGTTTTTATTGCACACAAAGAACAACATATGGAAAAGCAACTTAACATGTTATCTTAAACTAACCCTCAAGGTGTGCTTGACACCCATTTAAAGAAAGGTACAATTTCCTGCTTTGGTAAGAAATCACAGTATATTTCCTTGACCTGGACAATGCTGAATTTCAGCAAATTCCATCCACCTTCTCTGAAAATGTGCCTTTTGTGTTTATAATGCACTAATTTATTTTCCATTGAACCTCATACAACAAACTGTTTCTGGCAAATATAGCTTCTCCTTTTCAGCCAAGTAGGGAAAAAAAAAAATAGAACTCAATTCCAACGCTGCATCATAATTCACTGATCACAGTAGATAGAGGGAATAAAAAGGATGAGGCAGTAAGAGATGAGGAATGGAAGGAATGGGTATGGGAATGAGGGTTGAACGTACAGATAGGGTGAGGGTAGGAGAATAGGTGAGATGACTTATTAGGAAACACGTAACAGTGGATGGCCGGAGAATGGGATGGGCATGGATGAAGTAACAGGCTGGGAGACATAAGAAGTAAGAAAGCGAGGGAGGGAGAGAGATGAAGAATGTTTGAGTAAACAGAGAAAAGAAAGGAGCAGTGGCCTTAAACAACAACGCACCATTTTCCCTACTTAATCTTTGATTTAGGATTCATCCTTGTCATCTCCAGGTATGTGTGCTGCGTGCCCCGATACCTACAGTTGACTAACTTTGTGTTAGCAGTAGTAGCTGTATAGCCCATGTTTTGCTACAAGCTAACTTATCATTCAGTTTCTGTAGAACTGTATAAAGTTTACTTTTGAATACTTTATCCCTACAGTTGTTTTACATTTATATTTAAATAAATATGAGCCTACATATAAAGATTGTGTTTGTAGTATGAAGTCTAAATTACTATGAATTACTACTGAAACACAAATTTCAGTGGTAGCCTATTTAAATAAATGTAAAACAAATAGATTGATAAAGCATTCAACCCTTTACTTCCGTAACCTATCTGTTTCAATTTGTAACACGCGTCATAATGCTCGCCTAGCAGCTAGTGTGGCGTGCCCTCAAACCAAACAAGTACAACTAAATATGAAATTAAAATAACGTTAGGTCCAGGCAGTCAGGGAAATATACATTTGTTACAAAGGAATAACTTACCACTTTGAAACTTCCTTACACGTCAGGTTATTCTGCCTGTGTTTTGGGACCATGCACAGCTGACCCGAAGCCACGATGACCGGCTGAAATGGCTTTGTTTTGGAACACACTACCTTGTCAGGACAACAAAGATGAAGCGGGAAGCTTCCAGTCTGAGAAGTGAAGCGAACGCAAAAGTTCAGTTCCTTAAGCCTGCATTCTATCGAATGGCCAGCAGGGGGGCGACTCTTCTGGTTGCAAAAAGAAGTCCAGTTCCAGTAATGGCAAAATGACCCTACTTCTCAAGGTGAATGTGAATTACAGATGCACCTAGCTAAGCAAGCTAGCTAGCTCCATATGGAGCCGTTAGCTCCACAGTCCCAAATTTGGCCACGTCCAGTGCCACTGGTTGCAAAAAATCAACATGGTGGCGCCCTGTTTGCCAAACTTGAGGCTTCAAAACGGCAGTCCACAAACCAACTGGTGATGTCACGACAACTGTGTCCACTTCTTTTATACAGTCTATGGTCAGGACCCGCACTACTCTGCTTCTGATTGGCTAGTAGTCCTTATCTAGGTTCTGAGCAGGTGTAACTCCCAACAAAGATGAAATTGAAGTGAGGTGCCTCACTCTGTAGTTAAAATTGGTGTTCAACTCACCTATTCCAACCTATACCAACCCCTAAATAAAATTATATGACATCTTTACAGAAATGTATGACGTTTATTGTTCACTGAGCCCCATCGGACTTAAGATGTCACTGAGAGCAAATTAAGTACATAAAAATCTCTCATATAAAAATATAAATAACACATATTAGTCTTTCCGAGAGAGCAAGCCATGTTCATATAGGCCAAGCCATCTCCAGATAGTGACAGTACAAAACAGACGATGGCAACGAGGAAAAACAGCCATTAATAGTAATGAACCTCGGGAAGAAGAATTGGGAGCTTTGCTGCTCCAGCTCATGAGACGAGCTGGTAGTCCGTCCTGAACTTCCACCTTTACGTTCGTCAACTAGAAGAAGACAACAGGGAGGGAAAACAAAACACTTACCTGTGCAGTTCCCGTGGCCACATCTCACAGAGACTGCCACACAAAGTCCCTCCGTCGCCGGACTGCTCTACATCTGACAACAGACACAAAACACACTCAGCACAGAGTTGGTGGATTTCTTTTTCGGAACAAAGAAAATGTTTGGGGACTGTCTGGGTAAACCGTTAAACTCAAACAACATCAGAGTCCTCTTACTCGTCTTTGGTAGAACAGGATGTAGGCGGTTTCCTGACGCCACTTGCGGACAGAGGCCCCGGTTGTCTGCGTGACCAATGAATCGTTGTAGGTGAGCCAGCGGTCAGCGGGGTCATCCAGCTCTACATCCGGGTCCACTCCATTACTCACATAGTGTCCTAACGAGACAAATCAACACAACATGTAACTAATGTGTCTGAGAACCTGATACAGGACTACATTAGGTGAGAGTCTGATGTCTTACCTTTGTTCCCACTGGAACCCAGATGACTGATGACACTCACCAGACTGTACCAACCATCAGCCTGAGAAGGAACACGGTTAACAACAGTTAGCGCCTGTGCGCACACACACACATGCACAAAACACCAGTGCATACAGACCAAATCTTAACTTTGAATTCGATCTCAGGTGAGTTATTTCTTACCCGGCTGGAGGTCACCAGCAGCTCCCTAAAGAGGTCAACAGGGTCGCTCAACTTCTCCAGCTGCAATGACGGAGTGAATCGAAAACGCTTCAGATGTAGGATCAGCACTCTGGAGACAGGAAATAAAAACAAGAAAACATATGAGCTGGTTCCAGAAGATTGTTGCCTAATAAGCCATGAAGAATTTTGATTATCAATTAAATGACTACATATTTCAGCACTAGTTCAAATTTGGTGGATTTCACACTGAGCATGGTCATTCATTGCAGACTTTTCCAATGAATCGGCGCTTAAATTGCATAGCCATGGAACTAAAAGTAATCAAGACTTGATTTTAACACAAGTTAAGGAAGTTATCCCTCAAATAGATGTTCACATTACATGAAATGGAAACAAATGGCTGCCTGGAACCGTGGAAAACAAATGCTTCTAAAAATCTAAAACTGTTCAATGTTCAGCAAAAACACCATCCCTCACTTGGGCAGAGTTGCGAAGGTGTACTGCAGGCTGGATGTGCTGGAGCCACAGTCACACCTGAAGTCCAACTCTGTCTCCTGAACAACAGCACAGAGACAACATGCTGTCAGTTAAGTGGCGGATCACACAGCGTGTGAATGTTTGTTCACGTGATGATGGTACTGAAGGAGGACAGCTGGAGCTTACCTTAAGGTAATCCTGGAGCATTTCCAGGATCGAACCTCCGGGCACCAGGTTGAGAGACAGGTTGGTGAAGTCCTCCTCTCTCGTAGACCGGGCTCCACAGCTGCACATTAAAGGGACAGTACATTTCAAGAAGACCTATTATACAGCCCTATCCAGCCTATCTTGTAAATCTGTCACTCCTGTATGGTAGCTTAGCATGATTCAAAGTAATCATGCAGGCCCTTATTTCAGCCTCTTTCTAAAACAAGCTGTGTACCTAATATCTGGCAAGTGAGTGTATGTTTTCTTGCTGAATTTACCCTTTAAACATAAACAAGGATAAGGTAGGATTTTGTGTTCCATGTAGAGAGTTTTTCTCTGTGATTTACTCTTGCAGTTCCTAGTGTTGCATCTTGAATGTCAGGTGGTCCTCGACAGGGCATCTGTATCTTTTCTCCACGCTGGCAGTGACTTCCCGCAGCAGCGGGGACAAACCCCTGATCTGATCCAGGACCGTCGTCAGGAACTCGTGAGCATCCTGAACACAGAAGAAAAAAAAACAACACAGAGGTTTTGATGCACAGAGGAGAAACTATCAGGAGGAAGTGAAACAACAAGGCTCATCCAACCAGATGACTCACTTTCTGGAAGTGATCCAGAAACTCAGGAGCCTGGACTGAGAGGGCCCTCTTGAACAAATAGAGGGCATGGAGTTTGAGGTAGGAGTCCATGGAGCGGTGACACCACACGATGCTCATGAATCTTCTGCAGAGGGAACAGTTTCTGCAGTTAGTACTGTTATTTAGTTTGGTGTGTGTGTGTGTGTGTGTGGGTGTGTGTGTGTGTGTGTGTCTGCTGTACCTGATCAAT